AAAAAAATATATTTGTTGTTCACATATTAAATTGCATTTATTATTTTTACTTACATTTTTGTTTCCATTTTCAATCAAGCAATGTTTATGTTAAAACAATTTTCCTTAATTGTTATTATACGATAGCAAACACACAAGTGACTGATTTTGACATTTGTGTTCGCATGCGTACGAAAGAAAAAAGATAGTGGAACGCAAAATTACACTGAAATGCTTACGTTTTCGTTCGCTTTGATTTTCGTGCAAATTTTCGTTCTGATGGATTTTAGTGGAACGGAAATCAGCTGTTTGTCGTGTAAAAGTTGTGCGAACGTGTTCTTTCGATATCGTGGAACTGGCTGTAAATTTTTTTATCTGCATTACTTGGCAACTGTAAGAAAAACAGCACACTGATAGGCGACCGTCACAATGATGGTGACGTCATGTAGCCAGCGCTGATGAAAGTAACTGGGTCTCAATGACGACAGATCGATGACAGCGGCATTGACAAAATACGCGCGGACACTTTTTAGTATAGGAAACGTTAGAAACCCCACTTCAACACTGTCACACAATCCTCTTTATGATAAAGAGAAGAAACTTCACAAATTTAGGATCTGAGAGGAGTTCCTCTTACCCCTAATGACGTACACCAATACTCTCAGAAGTAAAGGGAACGTTATAAACCCCTCTTTACTTACAAGAGAACACACACACCACACATGTGTTAGAGTTAAGGGAACGTTACAAACCCCACTCAACTCTAACTACCAAAACACTACATGTATATATATATATATATATATATATATATATATATATATATATATATATATATATATAGGTTAGGTTAGGTTAAAGGACGCGCAGCTGCATTTAGCAACTGCTCCACTCGGAGACCTATAGGTCCATTGTGTTCATCCTAGGAAAGAGTTAGAGCGAAAGATAGAGAAAGTATAAGAATTGACAGTAGGAAATAGATAGTACGTAGTCTACGGCTGAGTTTGCCGTGTCGTCTTTAGCCACTTGAACCTTCTGGCTAATTGAAGGATCACTGCAGGGTCCGTGGTAGAAAAAGAGGACAAATCACGTGACACTAGTTCTCCCACTAGTTTATGTCTCACGTTAATGAGCGCTGGGCAGTGGCAGAGCAAGTGTTCGATTGTCTCAATTTCTTCTTCATCTTGACAGATCCTGCAGTAATCAATATCATCGCTGTCCCATTTTGAGGTCATAGCCCTCACCTTACAGTGACCTGTGATGATGCCCACCACAAGTTTTAAATCTGGTTTAGACAATGACATCAGCGATCTTGTTCTCTTCTCTGAGAGCACAGGCCAGATTCTTTTGGAGATGGTACATCCCGTTTCATCCAGCCATTTTTGTTGTGTCTTTTCCTGGTAGTGTTTGCGAACGATCTGTAGGAAGTGGCACAGTGGTGGTTTGACCGAATTATCTATTTCTATTGTAGTTGATTCGGATCCTAGCCTGGCCAATTCATCTGCAGTTTCGTTACCTGTGATATTGTAATGGCCGGGAACCCAACAAAGCTTGATTGACAACCTAGAGTGTTCCAAGGCTTCCCTGCAGCTTAAAACAGCCCTAGACTTGATAGTAAAGGATATATATATATATATATATATATATATATATATATATATATCCAAATGTTTTTGGCGGGAATAATATCTTACTTAAAATCGGGCTAAACTCTATTTGTTCGCATTGATGATGTCAAAAGGTGATGACTGAGTATTTCTACAGCCGATGGGGCCAGTCGAAACTTCAGCACTTTTTGTCTGATGTCACTGTTGTAGTATTCACTGTCGAGTCTGAAAACAAACAACCTTTGCGTCCAGAACAATCCTGTTTCTATAGTATCCAACATCCTTTGGGGATTATATTATTAAGTTCATCATTCATCAACTCCTACAAATTAACGTCCATTTGCTGATATCACAGCGATAATGTATACCCTTTGTGGGGAAAATACCAGAAAGAAGGACCTACACATGTGTCAAAGAAAGGTTGTTCAACATCAACGAAACTAGAAAAATGCAACTCTCTGCTGGAGTCTTATAGCGTCAAATAGACTTTTTAAGATGCAACAGTTGGTTTTGTTTATTTTATATTTTTTTAACAAAATTCTCATATTGGGAAAACACGCGAAACAAGAATGAAATTTCGGGGTTATTCCACGAGATTAAATCTATAGAAGAAGGAAAACATAGATTTATTTCAAATAGTACATTGAGTTGCCTATTAACGTCGAAAATATGCATTTATTTTGCAACCGAATTTGATATTATTGTATTTTTTATTCAAAACAGTACACACACATTCACAAACTGTGTATATGTTTTGACAGAATAAGGGCACCAAAAGAAAAGTTGGTAGAAAATATTGGACGTTCGAAGTTTGAAGAATATCGGACATAGATTTTACACCTTCCTAGCGATATTATTCAAAATGTTGAACATCTGACGAGTGTGCTAATATTGTCCATAGTTGCAACTGACCTAAGTTGTTTATACATCATAATGTGAAAAATTTGAACTATTTCGGGCATTTTTATTTAGGAACATATTGAATTAAATTTTTTGGGGGGAGAAGTAAACAAAACCGGCCACATCCCAACTTGATATAAGTTTGACAATAATATTACGATGCTCCGAATCGTACTTTTTTCTTTCGTGTGTGCCAACCGGACGGGTATTTCTAAATGGCTTCCAAATGTTCTGATACGAATTACTTCCAAAGAGATGTAATATATAAAATTATCCAGGTTATGTAGATATTTTTAATGCATTTGAACGCGCGGGAATTTCGGAGTTTCGATATTTTCTCCAAATATTTATTTAGTTTTTTGTTTACTAACGCTTTTCAAATTATAACTAATTGTCAAGTTTAGTTTCTATAACAACAATAGTTGAGTTCCAGAACCTACAAGTTAGTTCTAATTAGTACTAATTCTGCTACAACGCGTTCTCGTACTCCAAAAACTAGCAAAACTTGCAGCTCTCTCGAGAAAAAAATGGCGCTGAGTGGTGCACATTTCTGCTTGTTTTAGCTACATGAATTTGGCCGAGCAGAAATGTGCATATTGTAAATTTGACATTTAATTGGCAGGGCTAACAAGTTTGAAAAATGTATTGATACAGTTCAATGCTCGCGCGTCACAACAAAAATAAAGAAAATGATCAACTTAAAAACTAATATTTGTCGTGCAAAAACAAAACGAGAAAATATGGAGCAACTGATGTATTCACTTTTCGATGATTCCAGCAGTGAAGAGGACTGGCTGAATGAGGAATCAGATTACTAATTATTATTATAAATTATTAATTTTAGTTTGTCGTCTTCAATACTCATTTTTTAAATTTTGGCGTCCCTTTCAGTAAGGTTTCACCAGTCCGATTTAGACTGTTTACTTTTGGAATTTTGAATTTTGACATTTTATCGCATTTCTGCTAATTTTCCGTTCCTTTATTTTTTGAGCACCTAAATGAGAATGACATTTCGAATTGTTCTCTCTTCTGCTAGTTTTGCTACTAAAAAAGTACTGGAACACAACTAATGTTGTTTTTGTAAAATATTAGTTTATGTAGCAGATGCATACCCTTATAAATACACCTTGTATAATTCCACGCGTTTTACCATGGTAGACAGGTGACAGCAAGTGTTTTTGTACAAAAAACGTAACAAAAACCACACACAAATTTGTTTTTGTACGTAATACAAGAGTCAGAGTTATATGTCCACAAATGTAAGCAAAAAAAATAATTTTTAATAAATTATTTTAATTTCAAAATTGTTCATTTTTTAGAATTTAGATTATTAAATTTAAAATACAGAAGAATAGTTCTTAAAATATTTAATTTTAATGTTTTCACATAATTCCTCTGATTGTATAGTTCTAGATGTAGGTTCAAATTTCTCAACGCTTGAAGCAATCGATAGAAAATCGTGCAGAAAGCAACATACCTTTCAAATTGGAACCAAACTGCATACATACATTAAGTATTCCACACTTTGCATTTTTAGGAAACATGAAATATACGACTATAAATGGGATTAGATCACAAAACGTAATATCGGTACTGACACTGGTATTACTATAGATTCAAATCAGCAGGGTATTTGCTTCTACCTGTAATAATTATACCATGGCGTTTTACTTGTGTGGTGAATGGCCCAATTCACACGAGGGTAATTGTTCTGGTCTAAGAAAGAAGCTTGTTGGCATTTTCGGTGAGGAGAGTCGTTTTTGGTTGGACTAAAATTTCATCCAACTTCAATCCCGCATTAGAAGAACAAAACTAATACATGCACACTTATAAAAACCAAGTAAATAAAAAAATACTAACACACACCATGGTAGAAGAATATAGGTAGATGCATCAACGTTTGGGAACATTGATATGTCAAAATTTTTTTAGTGCTTTGTCAAAAATAAATCGATTTTTATATGTTTTCTTATACGACGCAAATCGGAGGTTGTAATGATACATATTTTTCAACAGTTTTTACAAATTTTAATAATTTTTCATTCACGATTTTCAATATCAAAATCGGCTTGACAGTTCATTGTCCCAGCAGCTGTGTCGATGCGACTACCTGTATTCTTTACCATTACCGTTACATTAGTCTCGTGCATGGTAGAAGGATATAGGTAGACGCATCGACACAGCTGCTGGGACAATGAACTGTCAAACCAATTTTGGAATTGAGAATGTTGAATGAAATATTATTTATTTAAATTTAATAACCTCCGAATGACGTCGTATAAGAAACGATATAAAAATCTACTTATATTTGAAGAAACATTTAATTTTTTGACATATCAATGCTCCCAAGCGTTGATGCATCTAACTGAATTCATCTACGGGGCTAGTGTGTTTTGGAAAGAAAAATTTTCTTTGAACTAAAAATTACTCTCGTGTGAATTGGACCAATTACATTGACCGAGTACGTCAAATTTTAGGCAGCGTTGTAAAAAATTAGCCGGCGTCGACTTTCAAATTGGACTGACTTTGATTCATGATTTGTAATACCTAGTTAACCTCAACATCATACTTTGAGAACAATTGAAAAGTTAAATAATGCGATTTACGAGTCGTTTGCATGCCCAACATTTGGGATGGTCATTTAAAAAACATTGGCAAACACAAGGCAAACGGATTCCAAATGATACTGGTGCTGCCAGCGAGTTAGAAAAAAAAGAAATTTTGATCAAAAATACAGGGGATGCTACAGCTCACGATAAGTAAGTTAATTCCCTTGACATTGTGATGGATTACGTGATTTTTTTAATAATAGATTCAAAACAAACATTGGGTCACTCACGCACCACCAGTGGCATGACAAATTTTGTTACATATATTGCAAAGAAACCGTTTTATTGGAGGGTTTGCCGCAAGCTCAGTTACTAACGAATACAGTTAAAATTAAAGGACTTCCAAAGTCGTTATACGAGTTGATTATTAACCTAAAGATTCCAAGCAGTGTTGAACGAAATGCTGAATTAGCAGTTACGAAATCAAATGTGTATGATGCTGAACAGTCTTCATTGCCAAGAACTCGAAACGTGGATCGCCCGGCTTATAAATATCCCAGAGTATATGGAGCATCACAACTGCGGAGTAAGTAAGTATATTGATGTCAATGCATATTCGGCCTTATTCTTAGTGGATGGGTGCGAATATTGTTATATAGTTCATACAATTTGCGATGAGAAACTATGAGTGCCCAAATCCCTATATTCGGAATACGGAACAACTCTAGTTCAGTAAAAACTTAGATTTTGGCTTAAGATGATTTTAGGGGCTATGCTCCGATTGACCTGAAATTTTTACAACGTGTAGATCATTTTAACCTGATTACAGCAAGGTAATTTTTTTGTGGGGGAAATACCCGGTTACCCGGTTATTGGACCCGAAAGTTCAGATACAATATTCGGTTTTTATCCGGTTCTACTCAACCGATAACTACAAAATGGAGATCACTTGAAATCTTATGAAAATACCTATCCACATGATGAGGTTACTAGAACCGGTTCTAGAGAAATGCGAGAAAATTGATATTTTTACCAGACTTTTTGAAAAACCGATAAAAACTCAAAAATGGACCCATTATGGGGTATTAAAAACTACATACTACATTGTAGCCTACACTCTGGCCTTTCCAAAAAGGTGCTATTGGTATTGATATCTCTTATATTTCCGAAGATATTAGTCATGCAAATCATGAAATTGAGTTTTCACCCACTAATATGTATCTCTTATAGCTTTGTAGTTCCGAAGATATTGTCTTTAAAGTCGAATTCCAACTACTTACAAAAATTATAATATTTAGAAAAACTATGGATCGCGTAGCCGGTGTTGGACATACCTCATGAGAAAAAATCTCAAGCCCCGGCCGAAGGCCGGCTACTTACAAATTTTTCAATGTTTACAAAAACTTTGGATCGCGTAGCCGGTGTTGGACATACCACAGAGGAGAAAATCTCAAGCCCCGACCGAAGGCCGGCTACCTACAAAAATTACAGTGTTTAGAAAAACTATGGATCGCGTAGTAAGTGTTAGACATATACCAGAGGAGAAAATCTAAAGCCACGGCCGAAGGCCGTCTGTTTCAAAATGCTATAGAGGTTAGATACATTTGACTGGAGAAAAAATTGCAATTTAATGATTTCTATTACCAATATCTTCGGAACTACAAAAGATATCAACACGTATGACACCATTTTAGAAAGGTAATAGTGTTGGCTGTTATAAGGTAGGCAGATATTAATACCCTATAATGGGTCCATTTTTGAGTTTTTATGGGTTTTTCAAAAAGTACTAGTGAAAAATATCATATTTCTTGCATTACTCTTACATCGTGACCCCTTGTTGGATAGGTATTTTCATAAGCTTTCAAATGATCTCCATTTTGTAGTTATCGGTTCAGTAGAACCGAATAAAAATAGAATATATTATATCTGAACTTTCGGCTCGAATAACCGGGTAACCGGGTATTTCCCCCACACTGTGGTACTTTGCCGTAATCAGGTTAAAAATACCTACCTGTGGTAAAAATTTCAGAACGATCCGAGCATAGCCCCTAAACTCAACTTGCTCCAAAAACCACAAAACACGAATAAAATTCTGTTTATTCAACAAAATTTAATCCAGGACAGAAAGAAAATAATGTTTTCTTTTTCATAATTGTAAGATTTATTGCGCTTAATCTTCGAAAAATGAATTATTGTTGTAATTGAATTTCTTTCTTCCTTTGTTCAATTCATTTTTAATACCAAGCTATTTTCTTCATTTTTCGAAACAATACCACAAAATTGAATCCACAAAATTGAATCCAAGATAGAGAGACAATATTGTTTTATTCCAAAATTATACATTTTGTCGCTAGTTATCGTGGAAAATATGCATTTATGCTGACTCTAAATTTGAAATAAATTCAAATAATTTTCTTTTTTACTTAAAACAATACACAAACATATAAAAATTGTGTATATGTTTCGACAGAATAGGGGCACAAAAAGAAAAAAATGTGTTTGGGAGGTAGCTCTGTTCTACATTTTGTAATTGTGCCATGCTTACACCTTAAATGTGCAAAAGAAGTTGATGCATTCATTTTGAATTAATAAAGGAATACCGCGAAAACTGATCGAAAGGTCAACATTTATTTTTAAAACCATGTTCTATGTATCTTTACTTATTTATTACCACCCAAGGTGGATAAAATCTGTTGTTGTTGAAGCAGCCCCGACTGCTGTGTGCGTTCTGATTCATCAATCAAGTTCTGCTTCTAAGTCCAGCCAGGACGCAAGCCAAAACTACTTGGGTTTGTTGTTGTCGTAACAGTTATACAAATTGTGTTTGGGTTCTGCTAATCTGGTTCAAAAAGTCGTCTACTTAATCGGCTGTAATTAGAGGTTTTCTGGAAATTGTGCGGCCTGTATCACACGCCGGGAAGGTGTTCCGCACATCTTCGTCAATTCGTGCCCAATACGAATTAAGAACACTGCACGATCCTGAACGCAATTGCGCCAATACTACACTGGTTTGTCTAGGCAGCCGACGTTCTTCAGCTGCAATGGAAGGGGTTGGACTCCGAGGACGGCATTCATGGTATAATTGTTAATGGCATCTCCAACTGACATACCAATGCCTATCAGACTTCCAGATAGGTTTTCTAATCTAGAGGCTCTCTCTTATAGGATTGGACCTCCCTCTTTAGATCATGTATGTCCTCCCTGACACACCTTGTTGAGGGAATATTATCCACCATATGATGGTTTGGATGACTCCCACGATAACACTCAAGCAGGTACTGCAACGAAAGCATATGGTTATGCTGACGTGTCAGAAGGAAGCTCCCTTTCGCAGTTTTCAGGGCAGCATCCTGGCAGGACTGGATATTATTCTACTGTGTAGCACTTATATTCACCCAAGATTTGGGATAGCTCGTGGTCGGTATCATATATCCCTTGACCTGCACATTCAGCTCTGTTCCCATCTTCGCAGACCATGTGGTAAAGAGTGTGGCCGTTTCGTGGAATGAGGTGACAAGCTCCGCGAGATAGATGTTCATGATCGTACAATCATCCGCAAGGAATTACGGAAAGGTATAGGTTAAAGAGTTACGGGATATTACCCCACATTGGTGAACTCTATGTTTCCCCTACGGATATTTATACCTAGTCGGCTGGGAGAGATCGTACATGGCGTAGGGCCATTCTCGTAGCCCTGTCGCTCTCGGGGTGCTTTTGTTTCTCTCTTTCTTCATGTAGATTGATATCATCGTATTTGAGTGGAAGATCTCAGTTTGTTGTGCACAGGGGCGTTCAGTCTGATGTTTGTGCAGTGCGGAGTGGTGTCCCACAAGGGTCCTCAAGGGCTTGGTCCTCTGCTTTTTATTATGTTCATTAATGACATTGTGGGGTCTGTGTCTAACTCCATGTGTGAAGTCTTCATGTATGCCGATGGCATTCATGTCTTCTTTAGAAGTGCAGATCTCTTTGAGTTGGAAAATGTGGCAAACACTACGTTGGGATTGCTTTCTATGTAGATCTCCTCTAATGGTTTATCTGTGAATTGGAATAAAACTGAAGCTGTTCTGTTTAATAGTCCTGATTATGTTCCTATGCCGTGCATCTGTGTTCGCTCTATTGTTGTTAATGTTGTGGATGAGATGTTTAGGTGTAGTCATTGACACCAAACTTAATTTTTCAGCGCGTGTTGATTCTTTGCTTTTTCGTGTGCGTTTTCAGCTTAGGAGGCTCCATAGTCTTCAAGCTCATTTGCCTCTTGGTGTTAGGATGATGGTAACTAGATCTTTATTAATGTCTCATGTCAACTATTGTTTGGAAGTAATCTGTGGGGCAAATGCTTGCCTAATTCTGCATGTACGCAAACTTGTTAATTCTATTGTAAGGTACGTGTTTGGGTTGCGCCGTAGTGATCGTGTAACACAGTATGTTATTAAGTTTCTTGTCTGTCCTTTGACAGATATGTTGAATATCGCCTGCTTTTGTGTCATTACAGAAATATGAGGAATGTTAATTCTCCTTTATATAATAAGTTTGTGTTTTGTAGATCATCTCGAAATCCACAATTGCTATTTCCCAGATTTTCGTCTGTAGTTGAAGAGAAAGCGTTTGTTGTAAAAGGAGCTAGATTGTGGAATCACTCTGACCCTGCGTGATTTTACCTGTTCTTTTGAACTTTACAGGAAGAGGAGTTTTGAGTATTTGTCTGTTCATTAAGTTTCTGGTTGCGGGTTATTTTTTGTTTTTTCTTTTTAGTTATTGGCTGGGGGCCATTTTTATGGTTGTTTTTTTCCATAGAGTACATAATTTTATCGCTCTTTCTCTTTTTAAGGACTTTTTTATATCCTCCACCAAAAAAGGTATGGAGGGTATATTATGTTCGTCATTCCGTTTGTAACTCATCGAAATAATCATTTTAGACCCAACAAAGTATATATATTCTTGATCAGCGTAAAATTCTAAGACGATTTAGCCGTCTGTCCGTCTGTTGTAATCACGCTACAGTCTAAACAAATTAAGATAGGAAGCTACAATTTTGCACAGATTCCTCTTTTGTCTGCAGGCAGGTCAAGTTCGAATATGGGCTATATCGGTCCACGATATCGTATAGCCCCAAATATCGGTACCCCCCGATAATCGGTATTTTGATTATTTTAGCCACATTTTCTAATGGAAAGGTCTGAAAATCCACACAAGAAGTTCCTTATGAGTACTTTATCCCTTGGAAGAGAATTATCTATATAGGTCCACGATATCGTATAGCCCCCATATAACGGTATCCTCTGATATTTTGTATTTTGATGATTTTAGCCACATTTTTCAACGGAACTGTCTGATAATCCACACAAGGAGTTCCTTGTAGGTACTTTATCCCTTGGAAGAGAATTATCTATATAGGTCCACGATATCGTATAGCCCCCATATAACGGTACCCCCGATATTCGGTATTTTGATGATTTTAGCCACATTTTTCAACGGAATTGTCTGAAAATCCACACAAGGAGTTCCTTGTGGGTACTTTATACCTCGCCAGAGAATTATCTATATAGATCCACGATATCGTATACGGTACCCCCGATATTTGGTATTTTGA